AATACAAATTAAACAGAGATTCCCTTATTAGTATTTATATTGCTTTTATAAGGCCTATTTTAGAATATGGAAATGTAGTATGGGATAATTGCACACAGGAACAGAGTAATCTATTAGAGAGTGTGCAAATAGAGGCTTGGCGTATCATTACTGGGTTAAGACGCAATTCTTCAAAACAAAAACGCTTATGTACAAAATACTTAATGATTATACACCTGAATATTTGCAAGAAATGGTCAATCAATGCCTACCTGTTTCACATAATTACGCGTTACGCAATAATTCGTATCACTTACCATTCACTAGAACAGTTGCATACTACAATAGTTTTTTACCATCTACAATTAAATTATGGAATGATTTGCCAGATAGCTTAAAATCTGTAACAAGTGTAGCAAAGTTTAAACAGTGTATGCAAAATAAAAATCTTGAAGATAAAACAAAATCCAAATTATACAATTATGGACAAAGAAAATTAAATATACTCCACTGTCAGTTGAGAAACTTCTCTAGTAATCTTAATGCAGACTTGTTTAATCATAATTTAGTTGATTCACCTAAATGCTTAAAATGTGGATATTGTTTTGAAGACTCTGTTCATTTTTTCTTTCAATGCCCATGTTATGATTTTGCCAGGAACATTTTAATTACATACATGAATGACCATGACATACCAAGAGATGTCAATATTGTATTATCAGGTTATGATTGTCTATCTCTTAGAGAAAATATGTTATTCTTTGACCAAGTTCATAATTTTATAAAAAACACTAAAAGATTTTAGTCTGAGCCTTCCTCCCCATATTCTTATTAATTTTTTGTTTGTTTGTTTTTTCCATCATTTTTTTTCTCTCTTTTCTTTTAAGTTTATGTTATTGTTTTCTTTATGCATTTTTTCTCCTCAATTTTTCTTCAACCATGTATTCTTTATAATTCTCTTAATATTAATTTATAATACATGTTTTGTTGAACTTAAAATATGTACAGTAATTTAATTGTACCATGTGTACCTTGATCTCAAATGGAGAGAGCTAATATAGGCCCTTGGCCTGCTGTTCAATCCATATTCATATTGTACTCTTTGTATATTATGAATAAAATACTTCTTAAACTAACATTAGTATGCTATATATATAATAAGGTCGGGTTCAACTTTAATCACAGGTACATGTACCTGACGATTGAAATCTGGTGGAAATACACAAAAATATGGTAATTCTAATTCATTGACAGTCTATTGTACATGGGGCAGAAATAAGCCACCATATTTTTTAATACTTGCTTTTGTTTTGCTCTTTGTTATCTACTTAGACAAAAAATTACATATTTACTCAGCATGTTTTTTCTGCTTTCCTCATTGGCGGATCCAGAGGGGTTCCGGGGGTTGGACCCCGGCCCCCAATTATTTTTTGCCAAGTGTGGAGAGAGAGAGAGAGAGAGAAAGAGAGGATAAAACCTTTTTCCGAAAATAGATATTTGTACGTCTATAACTTATGTATTTAATAGATAGATTTTCACACATATAGTATCCTCCATTCACCTTCACTATTACTTTTTTTGAGAGAATGGAAGAAAATGTTCTACTTATTTTTATATATCTTATATATGATATGTAACATGCGAATGCGAGGTTTAATTTATTCTTAGATTCCCGCGATCTTTGGCTGTGTTGGCTATACATGTATATGTCATAGGCGTCGGAACCGGGGGGCTAGGGGGGCTTACCTCGGCCCCCTTTTTTTTCTACAAAGATATACATAATTATAGGCAATGAAAATTGGGATTACCTTTTTTTGCTGGTTTAGCCATCCCCCAACTTTCAATTAGCCCCCCCCCACTTTCAATTTGCTTCCGACGCCTATGTAAGTACCGTTTTTTGATCATATCTTTTGAAGGAACTAACATGTAACTATTTGTTTTAAACCCCACCCGCATCCCAACCCCAAAAAGTTTTTCAAATTCTAAAAGAAAATTCTTTGTACTCTTCGGAAATGCTGCAAATCCATTCAGTTTTTAAATTAAAAGATATTAAGTTGAAAGTATTGATTGAATTCAATAATTGTTGATGAGATGGAAAGTTTTGGAATAAGAAAAAGAACTTTTTTACTGCAGGTTTTAATAAAGACAAGATTCAAGTCGGGAATTTCTCACCAGACGCTTCATAGAGATGGTCCAAAAATAATCATATATACATACACCAGTAATGATTGATATTTCATTAATATGTTCCGGTAATAAAAACGTTAAACTTCATTTCTTTTCATAGCGCCGTTCATTTCATTTAATTCGCATGCTCATCGGAATATCCAAAAACACTTAACATGGCAAGTCAAACCATAAGATCAACTTCTGTCAATTTTGTACATACATTCTATATAATGGGAGAGTTGTCACTTTTGAACGGGGTTCCATATCTTATAGGGAGCACATGTAAAAAATATTGTGGTTCGTATACTTTGAAATTTTGTTCACATTTTTATACTGGGGGTCATTTTCCTGCAAGAGTCATTATTTGTCTTGACACCGACCGTAATCTTCTGAGCACGGTCAAGATTAATGACCCCTATCTAAATGTTAATTCATAGCGTTTGTTCAATTTGGTCAGGTATGAAATGCCCACTGAACTCTACTCAAAGTAACAAACTGGGAGGACGGATCAAATTGACCGACCATTTAGACCACTGAACACAAGTATGGACGTAAGAGGTTTACATTTTTTGACAAAATATATCAGATGTATTAATTTATTACAGTATATCTATCGAACATCCAGCATCCGATCATCATTTTCAGGAATTCCCTTGTATCTTTTTTTATATACAGAAGCGTTTCATTGATCCTCAGTTATTTTTAAGGATCCAATCGACTTCATGATTTAACTTACGGGTGATTGTAGAAGCTAGAGTTGATACCCTTGCTTCTCCGATTTTTTGTTCCTCGCTTTCGCTGAAAGTGGGAGGTATTAATATGGGTCTGTCTGTCTGTCTTTCTGTCCGTCTATAACTCTTTCGTTTCCGTATGATATCTTGAGAAGCCTTTGAGTTTTTGCAATGAAATTTTATATAAATGTTCCCTGTAGCCTAGGCAAGACCCTTATTGTTGTGTGTTTAACTTTTAAAACTTTTGTTTCTGCACGATATCTCGGGAAGTCTTTGAGTTTTTTGCACTGAAATATTATGCAACAACTTGCTATGGCCTAAAAAGGACCCCTATTGATTTTGAGGTCAAAGATCACGATAGGAAAATTATACAATTTCTTTGTGTGTAAATCTTTCATTTCCGAATGATATCTGAACGAGCTTTTGAGTTTTTGCAAAGACAAACTCTTTTGTACCATAACACCTAGGGCCCCACCCGCCCCTCTGAAAGTATCCCGTCTCCACCCACACAAACCACCCTTCATTAATCTTTGATTATTTCTTTTCTTTTATACTATGTCTTCAGTACTGTTTGAATAAAAATACATTCATTACCGCTTAAATGTTTTAATTTATTAACGATAGCGTACATATTTTTAAATTTATTTCTGTGTTTAAATTGTCAAAAGTCTATGCTATAAATTCAGATTTATCGCAAACAAGAGTGTTTGTAAAAAACATATGTCCCCTCCCCCCCATTTTCTAAAACAAATTGGCATAACTCTGTCAAAAATTGCTTAAAATCGTACCCATAACATCACATGATCTGCTTATTCCAATGATGTCTTTATACCAAATTTGGATTTCAGTAGGTGCCACCTGTGCGAAAAAAAAATGAACGGAAACTGCAAATAATTGGAATTTTGTCTAAGTGCAATGGGCATAATTATGTTATAAAATTGCTCGATCATACCCAAAACAAAAATTTAACCTCAATATCCCTGTTTGTGCAAAGAAAATGAACGAACACATTGGTGGTCTGACAGACCGACCGGCAGACAGCAGCAAAGCAAAAACATTTTCCCATGCCTTACAAAGTAAACATAATCTCTTACGTCTTGTACAGTTGTGCCTTATGATGAAAGCATTTTCACGTGTAATTCCCTTCAATATAAAACTGTCTCTTGTAGTGCCTTATGATGTGAGCATTTTCGATTATAGTGCCTTACAATGTAAACACTGTCTCTTGTAGTGCCTTATAATGTAAACATCATCTCTTATCTCTTGTCGTGCCTTATGATGTAAACATTATCTCTTGCAGTATTTTGTGACGTACATGTTCCTTAGGGCTCTTATGGCGTGCAATGTCTTATGGCGTAATCATTTTCTGTAGTCGCCCGCATGGCGCAGTGGTTAGAGCGTCTGCTGTAGGGTCGCAGAGCTGTAGGAGTTGATTCTTACGTGGCGTGTTCGAATCCAACCGTGGGACGTAAAGACCGGTCCATAAGATGAGACCGTATAAGCTTAGGTCCCGTGTCGCGGTAGGTGCGGGCCCGAAAAAGCTCCCTCACTTCTCAATGGTCCCTGAGTTCCGAGTACAGGACAAAAGCAGCTCTCTACCGGCAAATGGTGACGTCTCCATATGAGTTAAATATTTTCAAGAGGGACATTAAATAATATGGGATCTCCAATGATTTGTAGTTGGATATGATTTTTATCCAATTACAAATCATGGGAGATTCTTTTTATCCCATGTTTAATACTTCACAACCGATGTTTTACACTGTTGTTATACAGGACTCGACTTTATTTTACTTCATCACGCTAACGCAAAAACCAGTGTGACGTCATAACTGCACTTAACTGTGGGATATGAAAAATTTATCCAATGAGTCATATCCACGGGATAAAGGGGTAAACATGGGATAACAAACAAATATATACATGTTTTCTTGCATTGTCTTATGACGTAAATATATTTTTTGTAGTGTTTAATGACGTAAACATTTTCTCTTGCAGTGTTTTATGACGTAAACACTTTTTCATGCAGTGTCTTATGACGTAAACATTTTCTCCTGTAATGTTTTTAACGTAAACACTTTCTCTTGCAGTGTCTTATGACGTAATCATTTTCTCTTGCAGTGTCTTATGATGTTATAATTGTTGGTGTCGTCTGCGGTGGGGTAGCAGCTATAATTCTTATTGCCCTAGTATGGCGTTACTGCACCATAAAACGGAAGCGACAATCAACCTACGAACAGATTCTTCCAAACCGGAAGCAGAGTGTTCACATAGAAAACGGAACCCTAGTAGTAAAGTAAGACCCTTTCACTTTAGTGATAAAAATTATATTCACACATATTTGTCGTTTCTTATGGTCTTGCTTGGTTAAAAAATCAGTTTAAAATCCGAAAACCTGTAAGGTTTGTTTTCTTTCTAGGCAGCACAAAAATACCTTCAGTATTCCTTTTTTAACTTGCCTTCTGTTTGGTTATTTGGTTAATTAAAAGTTTTCCAGACAACCAACCTTGGATTTCGCAATAACTACTGCGTTTTATTTTGACATTATAGCTCAATGCACTTTCTAAGCTCACATGGTTTTTCACACAAATTAAGGTTACATTGTTATTATGCAAAATTGTGCAACGAGGCTACAAAATATATTTTAAAAGTGATTTCTAACTTTCTTTTAAGTTTATTTAACTTACTGAAACATAATTCACACAGAATTATTCATTTGGTAGGATTTTGATATACTCTTGGCTGATGGATTGTGATAGTTCCCAAATGGTTTTTCGTGGTTTCTCGTCAAATGTAGCCGTTTATGTACCCGTTCTTTGTAAAAGCATTTATTTGCCTTGCACTGACTCAAAAACAGTGCAAATTATGTAACTTTTATATTTTTGTCCGACTATATAAAGCGCAAGATGATAATGGTACTTCTCATTTGTTCGACTGCTTTTCATGTTGAAAAGCTGGCATTTTTTAGGGTTCCTTTCGAAATCTAGCATCATGAAAGATAGATCCAACAGCAAAATTCTAAAGTTTCAAACCGTATTTGTAAAAGAATTATTTTTTTAATGGTAACAATGTACTATTTCAAAAGATAAATAATACTTTTTTATCCTGTCTTTTGGCATGATTTCTTTATGCAACATTGTCATTTTCGGCGCTACATTTTGACAAAACCACGACGATTATGGAAAATGTGTAAAGTATTTCGAAAAATACTCATCTTTAGGACGACAATTTGAAAATTTCAACTAAATAGTATCAAAGAAAGCTGGAAAATTTTAATTTGTAAATACTTATGGTGAAATCATACAGATGTCCCATTTAAAACATCGATTTTAAAACTTTAAGATTATGCATTTAAAGAATATGGACCTTTAACATGAGATATTAAATACATATTAGGGCTATGTTTCCTATTAAAGGTCGGTAATGTTCATTTTATTGCAAAAAGAATGTGACTTTAATTTGTTTGAAAATCCATGTGAGCTTAGAAAGTGCGTTGAGCTGTATTTCATTCATTGTAACATGGCGTACGATTAAACCGCAGCTACAGATGTCGTTCTCTCCACCGTAATGTACATTGAATTAAGAAATCACTGTCTATTTAGTATAGTATGCCAGGGCATCAACAATAGTGGGAAACATGGGATAATTTGCATAACGGCGAAGCCCGTTATGCATAAATTATCCAATGTTTCCCACCAACCTTTATGTTCCTGGCATACTAACTAGTCAGTGATTCCTTCCTTATATTTCCATTTCATTGTGAAATAAAATTGTAGATTTAGATTTTAAAAATGACTGTTAAGACACACAGACATAAGAGACACACAGACATAACAGACACACAGACATAACAGTCAGACTGTCCAGAAACAGAGACATAACAGTTAGGCTGATCAGACACAGAGACATAAGTCAGATACACAGACATAACAGTCTAGCTGTTCAGACACACAGACATACCAGTCTAGCTGTTCAGACACACAGACATAACAGTCAGGCTGTTCAGACACACAGACATAAAAGACAGACTGTTCAGATACACAGACATAACAGTCAAACTGTTCAGACACACAGAAACATAACAGTCATACTGTTCAGACACACAGACATAACAGCCTGACTGTCCAGAAACATAGACATAACAGTTAGGTTGATCAGACACGGAGACATAACAGCCAGACTGTTCAGTTACACATACATAACAGTCAGACACACATACAGTCAGACATACAGACATAACAGTCAGGCTGTTCAGACACACAGACATAAAAGACAGACTGTTCAAACAGAGACATACTAAACAGTCTGTTCAAACAAAGAGAACAGACTAATAACAGCTAGAATGTTCGGACACACAGACATAACAGTCTATACTTAATGTTTTCTGCTCTAAATCTATAATTTTAAAAACAATTTTTTTTTTCATTTCAAATAATTGGAATTCACATTTATAATTCTAACCCGGCATGTTTCTCCACGCTAGGTCATCACTGGTCATGTGACCGTACTACGCCGCACTATAAATCAGTTTATCCATAATTGTAGCAATCCCCTGGGAGAATGCCACGAGTGTCTAACATTATTTGAGACATATTTCATGAGTGAAATACCCCAAGTGATTTGTTAATCACCAAAACTTGTAAATGTATTGACATGGTGATTCTGGTGCTAATCGATGTGAAACCATCATAAAATGCAGTAATTGAATTCACTGCACCAATACCTGGGTCACTATTGAATTACAACTAAGTCTCTAAAGTACTGAATTACATTTAAGTCTCTTATAAAGTGCAGTAAAGAAGCACAGGTTGTTGGTTTCGTGTTGATGTCAATCTAACCATCACGCTACCAGCTACTCAAAAGAGAAATCTGCTCAACTGTTACACCAGCAACCTATCCATTCTTATTGTGATCAGTTTATACTGTATAATGTAGTACGCTACTCTTTCAATAAACTAACATATATAGTTTATCATTATTTACTTATCACACAATTACCGATTCGCCATTCATTGGTCTTCAGTCTAAATGTATGGAAGTTTTGTCTCAAGGGTTTTGACAAGGAAAACAATCTGCATAGATTCTTTTCCGGATATTGTGTATTATGATAGATTTATGTAAATATCGCCCGGCCTGTTTCTAGATAAATAAGATCTATTCTTTTGACGGCGATTTCATTCCCAGGATGCCTAGTTAACTCTGTCCTCAGACACAACTCGATCAATCATCAGGCTTTGTTCATTTCCCTGCTTGACTTCTTGGTTTAGATTTTTCTGGGGGACTGGGGGATTTAATTAGCTGATCCTTATAAGACCCCTAACTGAAGGAGAGATGCCGTCTTTGTTGCAGTAATAAGTTGTATGAAGGAAAGGAAAACTCGGTAAATACCGACTTAATTGTATGTAGAGACATGTAATACAAGATGTAGTTTTAATACCCAATGATACCCAGCCCGCCTCCTTTCTACTGATTGGATCCACCTTCAAAGTAGAAGAATCGACACCAGTTTATTGTTGTGTTTTAAAGATATACAAGCTATATATGTAAAACAAAATAGCTAAATGGTTTGAGGAACAGGATTTGTATTTAAAAAATAAATTAATTACTATTTTCCACAACGTTTAATTAAATAAGTCGTTGTTATTATTTAACAATTAAACTAGCTGCAGAACTGTAGCTCTCCGAAAAAATATATTGACATGCAGACTGGAGAGCTACAGTGCCACCCATTAAAAAAACCGTATATTTATAGCGCACAAAAAAGTGCGCTGTTTCTCGATTTATTTCTCCATTGTTTTTAAATTGTCAATTCAAAATATTACTAATCGTGTGTTCCTAACATATTATTTCACTTATTCCACGACAAAACATCCCTTAAAATTTTTGTTCATAACCCTCCTGGCCCTGGAATTAATATCATCGATCGAAAAGTAATTATAAATCCATATATACTACCAGTTTGGTTTGCAAGATAATTCGATCCAACATGCTTCGTGAAAATGTCGTCTACGAGGGTACTTGACAGATGCGTAAGGAATTTCTGGAAATATGTTTTTTTTACAAGTGAGGTATGAATTTGGAAGAATTAATCCAGAACTAAGCGCAACTTTTTGTGCGCAATCAATATACAGTTTTTTCAATGGGTGGCACTGTAGCTCTCCGGTCTGTCAATATATTTTTCGGAGAGCTACAGTTCTGCAGCTACAATTAAACAAGATCTGTAATGAGAAATTCAGTCTTATTATATATGAATATATAAGAAGATATGTATGTCCGCTGGAAATCAATGACGACAAGTTTCGCTGCATTTTGACTACAGTTATAAAATAAAAGCTAATATCTGTCATTAAAGAGAAGATCGTTAATATTGGTTGCTTTAAAAGATAAGACAAGTATCTTTAAGTGTTAAACGTTTGCCATCCAAATCAAGTGTTATTTTATACCAAACGACCTACCTCGTTTTATTGTCGCTATTTATTATCAATCAAAAGTAGCGATTATCTCACAAGATGCATTAATCTAAATAGAGGCATCACTTTCCTGGCAGGAAAATATTTATAATTTGACATCTCCTCTCCGCTACTATTTTGTTACGTTTAATCACGAATTCTGTTCTTTATCTCTACATATTTTAAAATCTTTAGAACGCGTTCGTTTTCAATCGTGCAATTTTTAGCATTCCTTAACTTTAATTGGTTAACAAAAATTAATTTTGGACTTTAGTTTTACTGAAAGTTATAGGGAACTGTATATCACTTTAAGTCTTAACTGTCCTAATCACAAGATATATTTTTTCAATTAAAATGTTATGAAATACTGACAAAAGAAGATACGTTGGAAACATTATGAAGAAACAATTCAAAAAGATCAAATTTACTGATACTTAGCAATGTCGGCCCAAGCTTATAAGGAGAGTGAGCGCATCAATAACCCTTGGTTAGCAAGGATGCCCTGTCCGTACCCCATCGCAGCGTTGTTAGGGCATGATACGAGGGCTGTTCAATAAATAATGTCCTCGGTGCTCGGAAAGAAATAAAACGCTTTTCAATGATTTAGTCTTAATCATTTCATTTATAATTCTCTTATACTAAAGCACATATCCGTAGCATTTTTAGCTAATTTCTAATTGTTTTAGAACACATTTTGAGTATGGTACTTCGTAAACTGAAAATGGTAGATCCTATGATTTCCTGGACTTGTTTCTTCTTCCTGAAAGGTGTTTTTTTCAATTTTGAAAAATGAAACAAGTCAAAGGGTGTAAGTTCTGGCGAATATTGTTGGTGTGACAAAACATTA